TGATCCCAGGGTCCTGGGATTGAGCCCCGCATCGGGCTCCCTGCTCCGCAGGAGGCGGGCTTCTCCATCTCCCACTCCACCTGCATATGTTCCCTCTCTCTCACTGTCTCTGTCAAAATGAATAAATAAAAAATCTAAAAAAAAAAAACACAAAGCACTGAAGTGCCTGGGTGGCTCAGTCGGGTAAGCATCTGCCTTCAGCCCAGGTCATGGTCTCAGGGTCCTGGGATCGAGACCTATGGTGGGCTCCCTGCTCAGTGGGGAGTCTGCTTCTCCTCCCTCTAACTCTCCCCATGCTCATGCTTGCTCACTCTCTCAAAATAAAATGTTAAAAAAACCACACACATACAAAGCATTAATATGAGAATTAAATTATGCTGATTGTTTTATTAAGAACTGGCTCTAACATTTTAAACAATATCCTGAAAAAGACCAACAAAAATTTGGAATTATTCTAAAGATGGTACTATTTTCCTCTCTGAAAATATCTGAGGTGTGATTAAATTTTAAAACTCTCCATCTAGGGGCACCTGGGGGGCTCAGTCAGTTAAGCGTCTGACTCTTGATTTCAGCTCAGGTCATGATCTCAGGGTCATGAGATCTAGCCCCGCAGCGGGTTCCACACTCAGTGCGGGAGTTCGCTTACGACTCTCCCCCTCCCTTTAAAACCTCCCCCTTGCCCTTGCTCTCTAAAAATAAATAAATAAATCTTTAATTAAAAAAAAAAAAGTTTTAAAACTATTTTAATTTGAAATTTAAGAAAACATCTCAAAAATTGAAGGTCAGTGGTTAAATGATGTGCTTTCTCAATTGTTATTACTCATACCATGCCTTTAGAGATTACTACAGAAAGAGAAGCTTCTCCAACACGATGGGTTTATTACAAAGTTAAAAATACATATATAAAAATAAATAATACTCACCCAATGGCCTTTGCAATGTAGCCAAATGTGTTGACTGTGGCTCTACGAATAGCTTTTTTGTGAGCTTTTAAGAGCTCCAAAAGCTCAAAGCAAATCCTCATCCATTCTCTTGCAGACACATATTCAGCTCCCCTAATTTAAGAAAAAAGTTATTTGTTTTGATAGTAAGAAATCTTAGAAGGTAAACAAATTCAATTCTCAAAACATGATCACCTACTCAGTTTAAGCATTAAATAAAAATATTACTCTTCAGAAAGGATGGTTTAATCTTAAAACTATATTGCCACCTCTCATCACCATCTAAACTGAAATTTCACTGGATAATCTTACTATATGTATTTGCAACATTAAGCAAGTTTGCAGTACATGTGCTGCCGAAGCAAGCACTAAGCAAATGTGCAGTAAATAAAAAGTAGCTAAATGTGAAAACCAATACACCTCATAAAAATATTTAGGTAATCTGCTTACCTGTCAGCAATACGTCCAACAAGATCAATACAATTTTCTTGTACTTTTTCATGCCTGTTCTTTAAGATGGGGGTGAGTCTAGGCAGGAGATCTTTAATTGGTGGGGTCATCTTATGCATACCTATTTAACAGAAGTCAACACACTATCAATAAACATTTGAACTATATCCTTTGTTCATTTTACCTTTTACTTAGCAATGTAATATACATAACCAGGCATAAATATAAACTTACAGCTGCCTATGGAAAAAAAAAAGTCCCAGATTCTGACCAGACTCAGAATTGTTTTTAACTTTGTATTAAAACTTCCGATTATGCATAGAAATGAAAGAAATTAGTGAAGTGATTTAAAGAATGATGGATACTCAACAACAAAAAAAAGTTTTATCTGGTTCTGAAATGTATTTGTACACTCACATTTAAATATGGGGACAGTTTATGTTCCGGCCATACACAACAATATAAGCCAGAGGTAGACATGTAAATTAAAGCAAAATTTTCCAGAAAGGGCCCCCTTACCCTTTAACTGCAAAACAAACAGATCTCCAGTCTCCCTGCAATGCAGGGCATACTTGGATGGTATTTACACCTATGAAGAGAGAAAAAAGGAGGCAGCTGGCAGGGGCTCTTGCTCTAACTAGAATTGCTTGTTCTGATTCTCTCTCCATTGCTTTTCCCATGTTACCCTGATCAACAATATGGTTTAAAATTCCCTGCAAACCAGAGCCCCACAAGTGGCCAAGTAACTGATTTTTGGCAAACAGCTATCTTCAATAGAAGACAGGGCTAAATTGGGGATTATATGTAAATGCAATGGTTTGAAGATCTCCTATATTGCATAAAAACCCCTTACTAAATAAAATGAGAAAAACAGTGGCTATCACAGCCAGCTATTCTGACCTCCTGCTAGGTTATTTTGGCTCCTCTAAACCATACAGAAGCTACTTTCCCAACAGTCATGTTCAACTGCAATGAAAGAGTCAACACAAGAGACCATTTGTTTGCTTCATCATAACATCCTTAAATAATAAAATCTTTGCTCTCCATACCCAAGAGCATTTGTAATATACTTGTATCTTTACTTTGGGTTAGAAAACTGAATGGATAAAGAATTAGACATAAATAAAATGAGACAACTTGAAAAATTCACTTTTCTCCCTGGTTATATTCCTGCAACACGACAGGAAAAACCTGCCATAATCATTTACTAATTCAAGGTTAGATAAATATATAATATTTTGTCCTAAAACTAAATTAAAATTTCAGTATTGTCTCCTCCCACCCCCTGAATACATTTCAGGTGAGACACTATTTTTATTAGGATTCTCTAGTCCATCGGACTTCAAAGTTTTTTGAGTTGTAACTATTCCCACCTCTCTTACAGGTCCTAAACTTGCCCTCTTTTCTCTTTTTAAAGTACAATATAAATGAGTTTAAGGAAACAAGACTTTTGTGACATCCCGACTTCACTATAATTCTGAAGTGCTTAAAAAACAAAGTATCAGAAACCATTACTCAACTCCTAAATATGATTCTATATTTTACTTTTAACAAAAAAAGAAAGTTAAAAGAACAAAACAATTCTTATATGACCAGCAAATTCCATACCTATTACATTCACAATGGCCTTCAGTGCTCCAAGAATGCTGCCCAATACTTCAGGGTACTCTTCACCCAAATATTCATACAAAACAACACCCAAGTGCCCCATCAGTTTTTCCTGTAATAAAAAAAATAATGTTAAAATGGTATTAATTCACATGAAACTATTTGGTGAAGAAATAAGAATATGATACAAAAGTTTACCTCTTGACAAGTCTTCATGACAACAGCAGTTCGAGAGATCAAGTCAGCTGCCTGTTGCCTAACTTTAGCTGATTTGTTATTTAAACGCCACAGAACTGTACCACAGATCTGAGGCAAGTAAGGTTTGACTCGTTTGCCAAGAGCATTGACCACTGTGCCAAAGCCATTCAACATTACTGAGTCCTAAAACAAGAAAAGCTAAGTTACATTTTAGAACTACATTCACTGGGAACTAGAATTCAGTTTGTGACTGAACAGTTTAAAAATGCTAATATTGTTTTAACAAAATGAAATCTAAAAATTTAAAGAGTATTTCCTCCCAGACAACTGGAATGAGACCATGAGCATTTTTAAAATTTTAAATTCAATTACTTTTTAGTGATAATTATTTGCTTGAAATGTGTTTTACAAACATGAAAGTCAGCAGCAATTTGCCATAATATAATTAGCATCATTACCTCTGTAGTCTGTTCTTGGAAAGCATAAAGAATACCATCAATCAGCTGTTCTTCAAGTTTATGATCAATATCTGCTGCTCCCAAGTTGCCCATAATTTTCTCAATTGTCTCCATCACCATTTTTCTGTACTGTTCAGCTTCATCTTTCAGATCATCCACAATCCTGGATATAATTTCTGCCGCTCCTACTTTGTTTGCCAACTCCACGGTAGTATCAACTAACTAAAAAGGAAAAAAAACCCTTTAGATATAATCAGGCCAGCAAGCATGCTGAGAACAGCTTATTCCTGTTTTAAAATCTTTAAGAGAGGGGTGCCTGGGTGGCTCAGTCGGTTGACCATCTGCCTTCGGCTCAGGTCATGATCCCAGGATCCTGGGATCGAGCCCCACATCCAGCTCCCTGCTCAGCAGGGAGCCTGCTTCTCCCTCTCCCTCTGCCCCTCCCCCTGCTTGTGTGCTCTCTCTCTCTTGCTCTCGCTCTCTCTCAAATAAATAAAATCCTTTAAAAAAAATAAATAAAACCTTTAAGAGAAAGGTGACCAAAAAACCCAAATGTGGGTATTAATCAAAGTGATTTAAAGTAAGACTGCAGTCATGCTTTACCTAGCCAGATGAAGCATTTAACTAGACAAAGATACTAATTCCTAGTTGGGCATTTATTGTAGGATGCAAAATCAAAATGGAAGTTAACTGGCTGACTAAAATCCATTTCCTTTCACAATCAAGCACATACTGTGAGGTAACTAGGGCAAAAAATAATATGTAGCATTTATTCGAACGGACTTAAAAATTAGTTGAAAGGATTTTTGAAAATATTTTTTTAAAGTAGGCTCCACAACCAATGTGGGGCTTGAACTCACAACCCTGAGATCAAGAGTCACATGCTCTACCAAGTGAGCCAGTCAGGAATCCCTTGAAAATATTTTTTACAATAAAAGTTTACCTGTCGGTAATTTCTTCTATCCAAAGCCATTCTGTGTTGCCAGAAGTGTTTAAAAAAAGGAGGAAGAATCTCTGTTTTAATGTAGTTTGCTTCTACACCATCTGTTCCACAACACTGCTTTACCACCTAAAAAGTTAAAAGATAATAGTAAAACCGGCCTGGCTTAACACACAACAACAGTGGTTTTTTTAACATTCTTTAACATTCTCTTTGAACCATGAAACACACCCAATTTAGATGAACAAATCTGGGATAAAAATTTCGAACAATTACCTTCAGCACAATTTTCTTCATTTCTTCATCAGGAGATTGAAATTCTCGAATAAGGATTAACATCACTTCTCTAGTATAGTAGTTGGCATATTCTGCATCCATAAGAGGAATAAGATACCCAATAGCTTTTAAGAAAGCAGCCAGACCCTATTTTAAAATAAAAAATACGTATACTTAATAAATTAGATTTAAGTTGCCTTAACTTCAATGAGTAGAAATCAAACGAAAAACAAAATCTATTTGGTGAACATACCTTTCCTCTGTGTTGGCGGATACCCTTCCACAGAGGCTTTAACACAGAATCAAAAGATTCGATACCATATGGAGTTGCGGCTTCAGCCAAGGCAGCAATGGCCAAAGCACTAATGGTCCGAACTTTCTGTTGCTCATCCACTAGACCTAAAAAACCAAACCCAAGTTGTAACTAAGTGACATTTCCTATAATTTCCACAACCCCATCATTTAGTCAAACTGTAGAATCCGTTCACATTGGACAAAATGAGGCAAAAGCCAGTATGAACCACAGCCTATAAGTAGATAATGTGCCAAAGCCCATCATAAACTATATTGTGTTGATACAGATAAAGTCCTTCCATCTATCTCCCCAAATCAGTAGCCCAAATTTCAGGACACCTGTCTTATAAAAGACAAAGTTATATTACAACTTACCATGCTCAATGATTTCAACTAAACTTCTGAGATGTGGCAAGATGGCACAGCCCATAAGAATAGCTATCTGCTGTACAATCTTAATACCAGTATGTCTTGCTTGCCAGGACTTCTTGCTTTTACACACAGCTTTTAAGAAGGGCAACAATGAAGGAATGCCCAGGGCAGAGGCTACAACAGCAAAAGCTCTAGCTGTTGTGTTACGGACGTACTCATCCATGTTATCAATATCAGGTCTCATGGTAGAGATCATGGTAGCCAGACCAGCAGCCTAAAAAGTCAAGAAAAAAGGACAGTCATCAGTTGATAACATTAACCCTGAACTCTTTCTATAATCAAATAATCCTATTGATGGATACAAAACTTTCTTCTCAAAAATAAATATAAATACCTTTGCCAAATTAGAAATAATCTCTCGACCTTCCACTCTAGCATAGTAATCTTCATCAATCAATAATGGTTCAATGACTACAAGGATCTGAAAAAGAAAAAGAGCTACATTTTCACAACATTTACTAATGCCATACTCGTAAAATGACAGAGAAAAAATTTATTATAGGCCATTTACGTAATTTAAACACACAAGCATACAAAACATATTTTACCAGGAAATTTATAATTAATTTATAATTACCAGGACTCTGTTAATCAAGGACGAATTAAAAATTTTAATTATGCAAATTCAAGATATATAAAGACAAATATAAAGATAAAAGCTGGGGGGAGCTATTAATCACATAGATTAACAGTCAACATTTTATTTTAAAAGATAATAACTTAAACATCAATCTTCATTTTACAATTCTAAGGCATTATCATCACCAGCAGAAAGATGGGTCCTTAACACTAAATGGTGTACTACAGACACACATCTTTTCTCGTCCTAATGTTATACCAATAAAAGCAAATGAAAAAATATGAATAATATGAATCCACTGTAAAAATGACAAAAAGTTCCTTCTACATATGCATACATATATTTGTATATGTGTGATGTATGCTTATGCAAAGAAAAGGGTCTAAGAGGACATGTAAATTTAGTATTGGTTAACTTGGTGTCTTGCTGGGGGCTGAAATTTCTCTTTATACTGTGAATGCATGCATCAGCTACTACTTTTTTAGAATTTTTTAAATTTTGCAAATGTAATAAGCTGGTTTTAAAAATCCATGAATTCCTTTTATATTAAAAAAATATTCAACCAGTGGGCGCCTGGGTGGCTCAGTCGTTAAGCGTCTGCCTTCAGCTCAGGTCATGATCCCAGGTTCTGGGATCAAGTCCCGCATCAGGCTCCCTGCTCAGCGGGAAGCCTGCTTCTCCCTTCCCACTCCCCCTGCTTGTGTTCCCTCTTTCACTGTGTCTCTGTCAAATAAATAAATAAAATCTTTAAAAAAAAAAAAAATTCAACCAGTAGAAACACTACTTGAAGAGAACAAACCTTGTGCACATATGGTCGAACTAAGTCATCAAGTTTGTATAATATTCGATCAATAACTTTGACAAGTAAATGACGCTCTTGATCCTCAAGTGTAGGAGACATCAGGAGAGGAAGAATCTGATTAAACAAAGGACCAGCTCCAAATTCACGAGCTTTATCAGTAATCTGACGCAATGCGGCCTAGGGTGGAAAAAAAGAGTAAAAGGTGTGTTCCTTTATAATTAAGCATTCAGAACATGCAAATTATTCCATGATTTTCTAGAACAGTATTTTTAGTGTAAACGTCACAGACATCTTACACAGTGTAGCCTGAGTGCATTCCCATCAAATTATTCTGAAGTCTGAACTCCTGTAACTGAAGTTCATTGTTTTCAGTTAATTCAAAAAAGGGTAATTTAGTAGAATAATGGAGCCACAGGATACAATATAAAACTCCTTAACTTCTGCTAAAGCAATGCCCATTTTCAAATTACATATGATACTAATGTAATTCCTCACATAATTCTACTAATTACCTTAGTGTCTTCAGCATGTTTTAAAGGCCCTGAGAACAAAAAGGAGAATCCCATTTTTCAACATCCTTATTAGCATAAAACGGTTTGATTAAAAAACTAAATCCCTCATAGTACACACCTTTCTTTCTCTTACACTATGCCACTGGTAAAGATGAAGAGATTAATTATTAATTAATTATAAATTCCTAACAAAATTATAATGAACCTGATGATTTAGTGAAGTGGTACTTACCTTTCTCATCGGAGGTGTTCCATTCTTAATTTTTAAAAGCAGCTTCATTATTTTTCTCTCTTTTTGCTCTTCTGGACTAAGTGTTGATTCATCAACATCAACCTATTAGTAAAAAGAGAAAATGTAAAGGTAGATTAAGATATTGCAATTTGTAAGTCCTAAATAAAAAGCAGTATTTTAGTTCTGTTATTACTACTCACCAAAAGTTTATCAAAGTACTGAATATCATCGGGTTTTAAAAATGGAAGATTTCCAGATGGCTGGTCATTAACACTTTTCATTGTTCTATCTTCAGTTTGCATGTGGAAACCAGTCATGCCGCCCAAAGGTGTTGGAGTTGCTGTCAGCTTTCGAGCTGGAGTTCGAATAGGAACATAACCAGCTGGAGGGGGAAGTACCTAGTACAGTTAAAAGATAGTTTAGGATTTTCTTGACTTTATAAAGTTTCATTATGTTATATAATAACAATGAATTAATATTTGCACTTAAAATATCTTAGTTTATTAGCTAGAAGCTTTTTGCTTGGAAACAAGAATTAACATTGATCCCATCCTTCTATCTTATGTTTAAAATCTGTATGACAACCATTCATATTTCTCATCTAATTAAAATATAAATTAAGAATATTAGGAATGTGGGAAAATGAGATACCTGAAGCAGGCTTATGAAATTCTGATCATTTTCAAACATTAACCTATATAAATATGCTGATGAGCTGATAGGTCATAAATGGAAATAAGCTCACAAAGTACACATAATAAAGGGTTAATTTTAATAAAATGAAAACCCATTCAAATAAATCTCTGCACTTTTATGAAAGCAAAGAATCTTAATATTTAAGTTGTTTGACAAAAATGAGTTGTGTATAAAACTAAATTCATAAAAATCAAAAGTAAAATATTTACCAAAGCCCTATAAAATACACCATTTGATTAAACCAAAAACTTCACCTAAGATTCACTAAGAAAGATTTTTCTCTCCTATTGATATTAAGGAAATCAATGACTGCAATTAAGAAGACAACAGTAAGTTGTAGAATGTTTATTCCCACAGCATTATGTGGAGGCTATAAGAAGTTCAAAGCAGAAATTCATGCACACTTAAAACACTCTAATATAAACCTAACAAGGGGAAAAACATACAAACTCTTAAAAAGCAGCAGGCACTGGCAACATAAGGCTCTGTAAAGGCCCTCTAGATGTCCTAGGTTCCAACTAACTTTGGACTACCTTTAGACCAGCAAATGGTTCCTGAGTCCCAGGTACTTAGAAAATTCTGTAATTCAAAATAAACTTCAAGTTGCTATGGTAAAGAGAATATTCTTTGTGTTTATTTGCAACCCAGGAACTTAAATAAACAAAATCTTGGGAGGCACAAAGTAAAATAACTATGATCTAATGTGAGCTTAATCCTGCGACTGTTGATAAACTACAGCAGCAAGCTATTCCATACCACCAAGGCAGGAGTTCTCAAAGTATGGTCCTAGAAGTCCTTATAATTTCTCACCTTCCAAAAGTAATAAAAGCTTCATGTCATTCATTTTTTCATCTCTATTACCTTTTGGAACTGAAATATACTTGGAAATAGCTAAAAGAATGGAACAGCAGTAGTAAATTTGGGCAGGGCCAATACAAACTTGACCAATTAATTTCTTCACAGAACATTTAAATAAAATTCACATCCTAAATATTACCACACTGGTATTTGTTATTACCTTATACCCTTCTGGGAACATAGCATCTAATTCTTCATCAGAAAGTGGGCGGTTTCTCTCATCAATTTCTCTTTCCCACCGCCAAGCCTGAAGCTGTTCAGGAGTCATACTCATTATGTGACCTACCAAAAGAGCAAATTGCTGTTAACAATCTATAGTGCAAGTCTTTTTTTTTAAGATTTTATTTATTTGACAGAGAGAGACAGCGAGAGAGGGAACAGAAGTAGGGGGAGTGGGAGAGGGAGAAGAGGTCTCCCGCCGAGCATGGAGCCCGATGCGGGGCTCGATCCCAGGAACTTGAGATCATGACCTGAGCTGAAGGCAGCTGCCCAACTGACTGAGCCACCCAGGCGCCCCTATAGTCTTAACATTACATAGGCCCTTGGGATATAAGACAGTTAACATCAATTTTAATTGCTTTGTTATTATAAATTCAAACCAAAACTTTTTAATCCAGTTATTCTTGCTAAAAATAGGCATTAATAGCACACACAATACCTGAGAGAAAAAAAATTCAAAATATTTCCAGGAAAAAAATTATTTCCAATGGGAGATTTTCTACCTGGAGTAGGGGTAGCCATGTTCATTGCTGGTGTGCCAATTGGTGTCTTTCCAGGGGTCAGAACAGGAGTGCTTCCACCCATCTGACTAGCCGGTGTTTCATCCCAACGTGACTTTCTTTTACTGGCTCCAGGAGTTGGTGTTTCACCAATTGAATCTCCACCTCGATCGGTTCGAGGAGTCTCAGCCCATCCGCTTCCATGCCCAGGAGTATCTTTAAAAAAAAAAAAAGTAAATAAATAAAAAATTTTAACCACTGTCAAAAAAATTACTGTTTATTCTCAAAGAGCTAACATATTAAAACTGGTCAAGTTCAAAAACAGGATATTCTTAAAATGGAGACCCATTTAAAGTTTAAATTTTCATTTCGTATTTATCCTCCCACATTATTTTTTGTTTCTTTCCCACTGATTACAAAAATGTAGTAGTCACTGAGGAATAGAAAAACAAAAGTATTTTTTTAACCAGGCATTATAGCACAACCCAGAGACAGCCACTTCATGCATCTTGAGCTACTTCTGATTTCTCTGTACAGTTGGATTACTCCACGTGTACAACTCTAAACTGCTTCTTTCATCCACCATATGTTGAGCATTCTCCCATATCATTAGAAATCCTTTATAAAATTTTAATGTAACAGATGTACTATTAAGCCTTAACTTCTCACAGCTAATCTCATGAAGAATTAACAAACCATAGGTTTAAAGAGTTTACACACACACACACACACACAAAAACAAGAGATTTAGACAAATTTATACAGACAGAAAATAGAGGTTACCAGGGGTTGGGAGGAGGAGGGAATGGTAAGTTATTGTTCAACGGGTACAGAGTTTCTGTTCAGGATGATGAAAAAGTTCTAGAAATGAATAGTGGTGATGGTTGCCCAATACTACAAATGTACTTAACACCATGAACTGTACACTTAAAATGGTTAAATGGTAAATTTTATGTTTTCAAGAAGGGAAAAGAATTCAAGCATATGATCTCCTTAGTTCTTTATCTATCCCCCAAAACGACTGATTATTTACCTTTCTACCCAGGACTAGAGATGTGAACAGGTTTCCTCCTATAAACATACCATTCATCAAATCATTATTTCACCTAAACACACACCAAGATTCCACCAGAAGTACCTCTTTCTGTTTTGGGGGTCTCATCCCATCTGTTTTTACGAGCACTAGAAGTTGCGCCCCCATGGCCTGGTGTTGCATGGCCTGGTGTATCCCCACGTCCAGGAGTAGCAGCTCCCGCTGGTGTGTGACTAGGTGTAGGATCCCATATTTTTGAGCCTGGGGTTGCTCCAGGAGTCTCACTTCCCTTTGCACGACCTGGTGTCTCGTCCCATCTTAAGGAAGGGGTATGTCCAGGGGTCTTAACAAAGCAAAAAAACACTTTATTTCACATACCTACACAGCCACATACAAATAACTAGAAAATTTCTATCAAAAAAATTGTTAACAAATATTTTAGTCTTATTCTGTATTAATGAGAGTAAATTACCCTGCTTAAGAAACACCTACTTTATAGCAAGTATGTTTGACTAAAAACAATGTGAAGTTTTAATTTGGAGCAGTGAAAAAGCCCTAGCTTAAAAAAAGAAAATGGAGCTTTGGGTATGAGTCTTGTATATACCATTATTAGCTCCACAACTTTGAGAAAATCACTAAGCCTTCTCTGTCTATATGTGCAATAAAAAAATTTCAGCTTTAATTATAGCAATACTTCCCAAACTGTGCTTAGAGACATATATCTATGAGTTCTCGCTAAGAAATACTATTTTTGTGTTTTTTTCAGTTTCATGTGTGTGTTTACTCTAAGTATGTTTTGGACCACCTGGGTAATTATCTTGTAACTAGATACTGCCACATGATTTCAAACCCTGAGATTTACAATCACATTTGTAATATTACTCTAACTAATGCTGATAAGATTAGTCAAAAAAAGATTAGAAGTAGAGTGAAGTAATCAAAGTTTCCATTATAGTTCAAAGACAAGGAATAGGTGATGCAAGGTATCAGACAGCCCATGGTAACAGAATATTGTGCCTTACTTTGATACTATATTGTCTGCACTCTGCAGGTTCTTCTGTTGGCTTCAGTGTAAGCCAAACAAAATTTGTACTTAAGATGCATAAATATTCCACCGGTTTTATAATATACTTTTATATATTTAAAATTGGATGGGGGCACCTGGGTGGCTCAGTCGTTAAGCATCTGCCTTCAGCTCAGGTCATGATCCCAGGGTCCTGGGATCGAGCCCCGCATTGGGTTCCCTGCGCGGCAGGGAACCTGCTTCTCCCTCTCCCACTCCCCCTGCTTGTGTTCCCTCTCTGTCTCTCTGTCAAATAAATAAAATCTTAAAAAAAAAACTGGATGCTCTATCCAACACAAGAATTCTGTTTAGCTTTATATTCGCAAATTTGCATAAATACCATAACAAATTTAAGGCACAATATTTGTTTTCCTTTAAAAAGATTCTATGGGGGCGTCTGGGTGGTTCAGTTGTTGGGAGTCTGCCTTCAGCTCAGGTCATGATCCCGGGGTCCTGGGATCGAGCCCCACATCAGGCTCCCTGCTCAGCGGGAGGCCTGCTTCTCCCCCTCTCACCCACCCCTGCTTGTGTTCCTGCTCTCGCTCTGTCAAATAAATAAAATCTTTAAAAAAAAAGATTTTATGTATCACTCAGGGTTGAGAAATTTTCAATTGGTGAGTGAAGCACATAAATTGTTCAAAATTTCATTTTTGGCAACTGCTCCTCCTGCTGATCAGGTAGGAGATAAAACTTTTTCTACTATCCACTGTAATTCCCACAGTCCTGATTAGGATGGAGCTGTGTTAAACAAGCAGAATGAAAGAAAACATCATCTGAAACTCAACAGTTTTATAAGACAGACATCAACTCTTTTAAGATTTTATTTATTTGACAGAGAGACAGCGAGAGAGGGAACACAAGCAGGGGGAGTGGGAGAGGGAGAAGCAGGTTCCCGCTGAGCAGGGAGCCCAATGTGGGGCTCGATCCCAGGACTCTGGGATCATGACCTGAGCCGAAGGCAGACGCCCAACCGACTGAGCCACCCAGGCGCCCCCAGACATCAACTCTTGTATCTAGTTTTCATGAGCATACAAATACACAGCAGCACAAATTTCTCTTTCCCAGTTTTTAAAATTAGCATTATCAACCACAGAATTAAATTTAGTAATAATTAGGAGCGCCTGGGTGGCTCATTCTGTTAAGTGTCTGCCTTTGGCTCAGGTCATAATCCCAGGGTCCTGGGATCAAGCCCTCCATCGGGCTCCCTGCTCAGCAGGGGAGTCTGCTTCTCCCTCTCCCTCTGCCCCTGCTTGTGCTCACTCTCTCTCTCTCTCAAATAAATAAATAAAATCTTCAAAATAAATAAATAATAAATAAATTTAGTAATAATTTATATTCTAAAGAGCCAAATCCTCTCATATACCAGCAAGCAAATGGGAACTCCTCAGGCTCTACCTTAAACTCAAGTGTTTGGAAATTATTAGGTTTATTATATCCCAATTCTGGGTTTGGGAATATACTGCCAGTCTATAAATAAATCTGCAGTAGTCTATGCTAAAACAGTGACTTAGGGGGCACCTAGCTGGCTCAGTTGGAAGAGTATATAACTCTTGATCTCGGGGTCATGAGTTCAAGCCCCACGTTGGATACAGAGATTACTAAAATAAATAAACTTTAAAAAAAAGTTAGTGATTTAGACTAGGGTGGTGGAGACAGGTCATGAATGGTGGTTAGATCCCAAATATATTTAAAGGTGGGGCCAACAAAATTTGTCTATGGATAAAACTTGGGACAAGAGAGTAACTATTGGATGACACTGACATGACTCTCTTAACATGGGAACAGGCTGGAAGGGGTGAGTGAATAGAGAAAATCAGTAATTTTATTTCAGAAAAACTCACTTTGAAATATCTATTAAACATTCAAATAGAACTGTCAAGTCTGAGAACCCAGGACATGTAGGGGATAGATTTGTACATTTGGGAGTAGTCTTATAATAGAGATGGTATATGAAGACAGGAAAGAGATCTTAGGGAGTGCATTTAGATAGAAAAGAGGTCCAAGGACTGAGAACTAGAAAACCCCAAAGTTAAAGGAAGCTGAGGAAGATCGAGCAAACAAGACTGAGGAACAGGAGTCAGTGAGTAGAGCATTAAGAGAATCAAGAGAGACTGAAGTCCAGAACCTAAGAAAAGCGAATCAAGTAATGGCAAATGCCACTGATATATGACAGGATCTATGATATGATGATATAGGATATGAGGATTGAGACTTGATCTTTTTGGATCTACCAAAAGGTCAAGTGACTTTGACAAGAGATGTTTTGGTGGAGTGGTGCAAGCAAAAGACCAGATAAGCAGAGACTGCAGGTATAGACAACTCATTCAAAGCATTTTGCAGTAAAGACACAGAAATGAGATGGTAGCTGGAAGGGGATGTGAGATCAAGGGATGGTTTCCTGCAGTTTTTTTGTTTTTTAAAGAGGAAAATGGGTACAAAGTGTTTGCTGATAATAGCCTGAAGTACAGAGAAAAAACTGATGTTACACAAAAGTCTCTGAGTAGTAAGAGGGGATGGGAAATAGTATATAAGAAGCTGTTCAACCTGCACTGACAACTCAGAAAGAAAAGAGTAAATGAGAACAGACACAGGCATACTGGTAGATTTCACAGTGGGAACGGTGTAAGTTTTTTTATTGTTTCTACTTTGGAAAGGAAAAAGAGGAAACAAAGTCATCAGCTAAAAAGCTGTTAAGGAGGTATTATGTTTGAAATTTTCCCTGGGGGTGCGGGGGATTGAGAATTACTGCTTAATGATTACTGTTTGCTCAAGGTAATGAAAAAATTTCAAAATTAGTGGAGATAGTTGTACAACCTTGTGAGTGTAATTAATGCCACTAAATTGTACACTTTAAAATGGTTAAAATGGCAAATTTTATTATTAATATTTTACAATTTTTAAAAATTTTAAACAAATGAAACAATAAAAACAACCCCTAAAGACGTTCTCTAAGAAAATAAACTGACCAAGGAAATGCAATAGCACTACCCATGTGACACCAGTGGTCAGATGCTTAAATTATCCATCTAGAAAATGAAGAAGATCACTATATTGTACTCAACCTCCACAATGTGACATACTGGAATGTTTTAATATTCCAAAAGGGACATTCCTTTATTCCGGGCTATGGACTGAACTGTGTCTTCCCCCCAAAAAACTTATGTTGAAGCCCTCAACCACCAATGTGACTATATCTAGAGATTAGGCCTTTAGTGAGGACCATAACCTGGTAACACTGGTGTCCTCAGGAGAGACACAAGAGCTCGCTTGCTCTCGCCATGCACACACACCTTGATATTGACTTCAAGCCTCCAGAACTATGAAGAAATAAATGTCTGTTGTTTGAGCCACCTGGTCTGTGTTCACCTGATGTCAACAAGAGTAGGCTAATACACTCCATGTGAGAGGGAAAATCTAAAAACAATAATAATCGTCATTAAAAATAAAAATAAATTACCTCTGCTTGATCCCAACTTGACAGCTTTTTGGGAGTGGCACCAGGAGTCTGATCGGCTGTTTGATCCCAACGCCGTTTTCGTTTTGAGGGAGGCTGGGATGCTGCTGCTCCATTGACAACTTTTAGTTCTCCAGCTTTAGCTTTTTCTGCTAGCTGCTGCCTAATTTCTCTCTACAAATATTTCAAAAATCACTGAGTATTGCTAAAACCTTTTCAACATATTTTCATATATAATCAGCACAGTCATTTCAATTTAATGTCATTGTCTTCACTCATTCTGCTTTCTATGCCACTGGGAGTGCCTTTCCTCATTTCCCTTTCTTTTCTGTATTTCTAGTTTTATACAATGTCTTTCTGCGCAAAAGATGAGCAACTATGCAATTTATAACACAGAGCACCCTACTTTAAAAACAGTGAAGTAAAATCTTCAATAGTGGAAAACCAAAATGCTTTCATTGAAAAAGTTTTATTTAAAACTCACATAAACTGCAATGCAGACTATGTAGTAAGATAGAAAAGTGGCAAAAAATGGAAACTTACAAATTATAACTATATAAATATTCTTATACTTATTCCATGTAACAAATTATATATTCATAATAAACTTATAGAGGCTTACTGTTAGAACAAAATGGAGCAATCACTGCAGGCCAGTAAGAATCCTTCAGAATTCTCCACCCATATCCAAACTGAATCTTATGGAAGATTTAGAGGTTTTTCAAGGAATGATTTAACTATCTGACTTTTCCCTTAAGCCATCTGTTTCAGGCACACACCACCAATCCTCCCCACAGATACAGCCACCATAAGATAACATGTCTCTGGGTGTGTATATATACATATACATATATGTGTACACACCCAGACAGATAGCCAAGGGGCCAAGGACTAGAAAAAGATATAGAAATATGAAAAGTTTAATTTGGGAGGCAGCAGAATTTTGGGTAAAGTTTCTTTCTCAACTTAGTTTTTATTAATACTATTAAAATATTACTTGTGCAGCAAATAAAAAGGAAACATAAAAGTCTCTCAATCTGAACTTTCTATTACATTCTTTCACCACCACCAAAATAAAAATCAGGCTCACACACCTCTTCTTTAGTTAAATGCTGTTCTCGCATTACATCCATGTAAGTCCTAGCGTTCATTTTAGGATCAGGGGTCTTCCCTCCTGCAGAAAAGAACAGCAACAGGACAAGAGTACAATAAATAAAAGATAATTAGGTTAAATTGATTTATCTGCCCTGCTCTAATATTATGTTATTCCATAATCATTTAATTTATTTTTTGATGGAAAACTTTAATAATTATACATCTTACTTTTTATTGAGTTTGCTGATCAATTTAACCTGTTTGAACACAAACATATCTACAGCAGTTTAAAACAAATATTTTAATGCATATAAAAACAAAATGACAGCACAGTTTAGAGTCTTCAGAAGTGATGGGTTCCTGGGTTGCTAATCCGGAATACGTACACTTTCGTGCCTTTGTCTCCATCAGCAGTTCTGACTTCAAGCAGCAGAATAGAAGCCTAGAAAATTATCTCTTTACCATTAGTAACACTTTGGAAAGATATTTATATTCAAAACATTACCTGTTGCAAGCTGTTAAAATCCTGACTACAAATAACTATAACTAGATAAGTTCTCCATACAATGTTCTAAAAACAGTTATAGTTTAGAAAATCTGACTTTTAAAATACACCTATAATCTTACTCTGATGTCATGTTACTAAAAAGGGCTTCATTCTTTTTAAGTTTTGTTGACCCAAAAACATTTTTATTTTCTTAGAAAGTAAAAATTACAACTGGAAACATATTACTTGAAATATATTACTTCTACCGGTTATGTTTCACACAGAAGAAAAGTGGTGTACAAAGAGATGTGTTAGTCTCTTGGTTCAAGTTTCAGTATTTGCTTTCAAACTTCAAAATATTTTAAAGAAGCCCAAACAGTACAGAACAAGATTCACAGAGGCACACTATGTTTTAGAAATGTGATAATCAGCTATACCAGTAGTATAGCATCACAATTTAGGAAAAAATAATAAAATTCTAAGACATTTCCTATGCTGAAGATCATGCCCAATTGATAGTGTCATTCTTTCTGACACTAGCTCTGATAAGACTTCCTTTGGAATACTTTTTCACCATAATCTAGAGAGGATGTGTTGAACTGCACCCTTAAGAATGCAGACAGGACTGGCATATAGCAGTACTGCTGTAGGAAAGAAATTAAGGACAGTTAGTATGGGCCTGTGAATTCTGACATACATGTTTAAATCAATTACAATTATGCAAGTAAAAAAAGAATATCCCTACTAATTCATGCAGGCTGAAAGTCTAATTTGTAAACCTGCAGCAGAATCTAATTCTAAGAAACAGGCACCTAATTTTGATTTTGAAACTCACCTGAGGAAAGCTTCCATCAGGCTCACTCACTATGCCCCTTGTGCTGACCTGCACACTAAAATTAGCAAAACAGACTCCAACTATTAAAAATATCAAAGTCTTTGTATACATACTTTTGTTTTAACTTTAAGTATGCTTAGAGCAAAGTAGGTGCATTTACTAAACTATATTTAGAGCAATATGGGGGGAGCTCTAATGTGAGAAACAGTTTCTCAAAAGTAACAAGCCCAAAAGTCTAGGATTTGGAATGAAAACTTTCAATAGCTTGAAAGTATTTTGAGCAGAAAAACATATTTGTTCAAAGTATAGAAAGCGTACCCAAAACAAAAGTAAAAGAAAAACCTTTAACCCTTTGCGTTTCTATGGCATTGGCTCATTATTTTCTTGTCCTTCTACCTGGAAAGAAAACTTGCATTATAAAGATGAAGAATATGGCATCTGTGACTTCAACCAAATCTATACAAATCTATAATAAGGGGGATTTTAAAAAAGAAAAGCAAATTCATAAGCATGCCAAAAAAAATCAAAGGGCTAAAGACAACTTAAGACAAATAAATTCCTGAAAACTTATAGAAAAATGGGAAAGAATTACCATCTGCAAAAGGATCAAGACGCTCTGGGGATATTATCATGGTCCGCCTGTGCTTTTTGTATTCATCCTCCCGGTCAGCAATCTTCGGAGGTCGGTGCTCAGCAAATGGATCATACTGAAAAGAGGTATGTCTCATTTAATAACTACTTTATTAAATAACCAAAGAGAATATCATATACAAAACCCAGAACATTAGAAAACATGTAAAAATGTTTAATACCTACTAATGAAAAAAATATCTTCTATCATTTTATGGATGTTAACTTGAAAAAATAAGACATAGGGAAATGGGACAATATACACTGTCAACATTTTCATACTTCATTTCTTCATGAAATGATTACCTTAAAAACTAAGTATTACTTCTAATCCTCCCCAATCAACTCTCCTCAAGACATTCTAATAACTTGATTTCTAAAATATGGGGGCTTCCACAGGAATTGAGACATTCAGTTTTCCTTAGCTGAATAAATTCTGGTTTTAATTTTTAAAAAGGGCTGCGAGGGGAGAAGAACAAGAGGAGAGTCACCTGTTCTGTAGATTGCGGTATATCATTAAGCAATGCCACAGGGGCATGATATCCCGGCTTCTTCTGACCAAGCAAACTTGTAGATGATGAGTAGTCATCGTCATCCTGCAGTGAAATACCCCAAAAAACCAACAAAATGTCAGAACTTAAAAATTAAAAAGCATATACAGATTCAACATGGTATCAAAAGATTTACTGGCAAAGTGGTGTCTAAACCTTTGTTCATAAAACTTGTAAACACCTAGGTTTTCTTTCAAATCACAAACCTTTTAAAAAAATTAAATTTAGTTCTCTTTACTTTTAAAAACATTAAACAAGGAATGATTTCTATGGAAGCTAACTAAAATAAGGTAGGTATGGACTAAAAAAAGCCTGAGCATTTCGTTTTCTCACAGAAAGCATAATGAAATTTTTCAGGACATCTGGGTGGCTCAGTCGGTTAAGCATCTGCCTTCG